GGCTAACTAAGAAAACTGGCTATCGAGTCGCGCTCGTCAGTGCACCGAGAATTTTGACAGACCTTAGAATGGATGAGGGCCCCGGGTAACGAAGCTGTGCCTTTCGCGGCCGATTTTCAAACTCAGTTACGGGCTACTTTAATCTGATGGGAAGTTACTTTCCGGCTAACTCGGTCCCCGTGGTTTCGCCGCGATAGTGTTGATTAATTTGTTCCGAAATGGCTTATCTGGGCTACTATGGCGAACTGTAAATGCAATCGGGACGTGAAAATACGACAGAGGAGGCGAGATAGATCGCTCAGAGCTCTTCGTAGAACTGGGCCCTGAGCGGGAGAAAGAGGGAAACTTTCAGCATAGTTCCTGGGCGTCTGTTTGGCCGTGACTGCGAGGTATTTATCTTGCCGATTGTTGCTGGAGGAAGAGCAGGGCCCCGGGTTCGACGAACGAAAACACCGCGCGCTCGTTTCTTGGGACTTTCCGGGAAAGTTTTAATGAATGTGTCGTTATTAATTAACGATGACTAACTCGGCGGCGCAGTTCGGAGAAAGATGAAGACGGTAACACGGTTCGTCTGGGAAAGTAATCACCGTGAAGGGAACGGCGACTCATTTGCGATTCGAAGGGATGACGTCGAGCTCGCTGCGAACGTATCGTCGCTCCTGTTCCCGGCGCGCTTTTGTTCTAGGTGTTTAGCATGTTTCGATTAGTAGGTACACGATTTGGAAAGTACATTTAATACGACAAGATTGCCTTCAGATATACTACTAATTCTGCTAAAAGAATCTCTAACGCGTTAAATTCCGCGCGATTTCATAGAGCAAAATACACAAAATGGAAAGAATGTAATACTAAATCATTTGATTGAATTGCATTATTATTATCGCACATATAGCTAGATATCACTGCATTAGATAGCATTATTTATAATATAGAAATGTTTTCAAATAATCATCATTTAATTGAGCGAACTATAGTAATTCAACTTAGTTGAGGGTTACCGATGACCTTCATGATGTTCAACGTGTTAAACAAAGGATTTGTCTAAATCTAGAATTTGTTATATTGCTGCTTCAGTTGGATCAAGGTAGCAAAGAAATTCACTGAACTTTAAGACAGTAGTAGCTTCTCAAGTGAATCACACTCGAAAAACGTCATTTTTAATTAGAAATGTAACTCGCCCCATTGCCCTTCGCATTAGCCAACAGATTCCCGATTTGTCCATAAACTTTCATCTTCTTCCCCGAGCGGATTCCCTTGAACCCCATTTCCGAGTAAGTACTCGGTCCGCAGTAAAAAGGGTTTTAACTACCGCCGCGCGATTGGATTCGCCCGTATGACAAGCGTAACCAATCCTCGTCCACCCCGTTCCCCCACTGAAATTATTTATTCGACGATGAAGTCGATGGAACGCAACGGCCAGGACGATTCCGCTCACGTGTCGAGACTTCCGATTAAATTGTACGACGTTCCTCACGTCGCGGGCCAAGGAGCCGTCGTGTCGCCTGCGAGCACCGGGATCCACGGAAACTCGTTCGTGAGGATCGTTCGACTACCTGCGCGTCCGTCGCATTTCACGGAGTCGGGGATGCACTTTGCCCTTTAACTTCCGCCCGCAGCGATGGAGTATAAAAAGGAAAACTGTTTCACAGAGGGCCAGATACTTTGTGCAGTTATTAAGCGGAGCGAGGAGGATTATTTTATTTAGCCCCTGGAGAATTAATATGCCGCTTTCAGATAAATTTTCTAATATTCTCGTTTGCTCCGCCACGAGGAAAGAATGATTATTAAACTGGGAATTCAGCTTGCAAAGGCCGGGCTCGAGCAAATGCAATAGCTACACAGAGTTTTATTAACGCTGAAAATGAACGTCGAGCTTTGTTCTTGGTTCCATTGATTTGTTACATATTTCATCGTGATTATAGTATTAACGTTTCCTACATAGATTTATTTTATTCGATCGAATTACTATTAGATTCTATTTCTAGTGCTTTGATTATAATATCAGTTAATGTAACACACGGACAGTATAAACCACGAATTGCTAATTACCAATTATTGACATATCAAATTCTTTCGTTTCATCGAATCGATTCGATCAAATTACCTATACAGTTCGCGCATATGTAACAGGTTCGCGAATTACTGAAATACTCGGCACACTGAAAACTGTAATTACACATAGGGCCTGGCAAACAGCGAAATCGTCGGGCACAATAGAATCTCGTCATTGCAATGGTCGATTGTACCGCGGAAACTATTTTCTTGTATGCTCAATCGGTCTTGAAGAATCGAGGTAAACACTTCCACAGCATCCGAGGAAGCATCCCTTCTCGGACTCGGGATTCAGGAGGGCGTCCTGCGTCGATCAGCCATCGGAATCGATATCGTTATCACAATTTTCTTTTCTAACCGTGGAGAGAACCGGAGTAGTATTCAGCTCCATCGCAGTGTAAAGAACGAACGAACGAATGAACGTTGGGGGTCGAAGGGGTGGTCGGATGGTTCAATAACGTATGTTATTGAGGAGGCACTCGTGCGTCGTCCTCCATTAAATGCGCACGAGGAACGTTCTCGGGACGAATGATGCGGCACGCATACCTTCCGCTCTCGGAACTTTACGAGGAGATAACTCATAATTGAGTTGGCCCAATAATAGGTTGCGCTAGGCCGTTTCAATCGGTTCTGCCGTCTCCAACTCTCCCTTCGCGATCGATTTCCCGCGGTGCCCGGGAAATGCGAGAAAGAGAGGAAACGAAAGATTACTCTTATGAGTTACGATGTCGCCCAAGGAACACCGTCTCTCATTAATTCCAGCCGAGTCCGCTCGTAATTATCCCCTCAGCCTGTCCGCATTCTCTCCTCTCTTCTATCCTGTTTCGTGGCTCGATAATCCGATCGACATTGAAATTATCGGAGGATGTCTTTAAAGAAAGTCATTTATTGGTCGGAACTAAGGGCGGCAGAAAGGTCTGACGTTTCCGGTATTGATGATAGGGTGTCAATGATAGCTTTTCATCGTCCCTTGATTTATTTCGCGGAGTGTTGTAATTGACGGTGTTGGTGGAAGTAAATGAGTGTATCTTTGAAGGGAAGATTGTTTGCTTCAGTGTAATGTTTTCATAGTTGAAGAGGTTTGCAGGTGATTCTAATGTATTTATGGAAGTGATTAAGAATAATTTTATGAATTGTTGAAATATTAATTTCATTGTATTGTACCTTAATCGCAGAATTTTCAAATAATTTATTTCTTTGTTGTCTTGTATTGCTCTATCTATCCAACGTATTTATTTTACATCTAACAGTGAGAATATAAATATTCTTTTATCGTTTGTAATTAAGTAGAGTTACTAGATATTGGCTTTTCTTGGAAACCGAGTACCTTATCCCCGAAGGAAACTGTAGGAAATGTTCGACAAAGTTTATATTACTTATTTATTGACTTCACATGTTGCAAAGCGTTTCTCTGGGTGTAAACGAGGGTAATTGAGTCACGGCGCGTTATCCGCGTAAGCAGTCACGAAATGGTTCCGCCATAATCCAAAGGAACGATCGGCAATGCGTCGGTCCGTTCGGTAATGTGATTCAGTTTCCGTGGTTTATCGTTGTGCCATCGTTCTTCCCATAAATGGCGATCGTCAGGCATCCTGTCACACTGGATAATTGATCATTTCTCGCGTCGAATGGAGCCACCGCGACTAATGTACACGCGAATCGCGATGATTTGTAATTATATTGGTAATGGATGTCGCTTTATTGAAACGACACTGTTCGCAGGAAATTTATCGGTACCCACCGGTAATTTGGATAATTAGTGATAGTGTAAGTTACCGCTTAAACGAATCAAACTCGGAGCTTTCGGTTTCCGCGACGACGTTCGTTCGCCATTCGTTGAAATTAACGTTTACTGATTTAGAACGTTGTCCGATCGATATTTTAATCTCTTCGAACTTTCTCTGGAAATCTATACATATTAATGTCCTGGGAATACTGTCGGAGAACCGGGAAACACGTTGCTCGTTACGTTGACTTATTCATCGGACTATATTCGTATGAAGAGGTTAAAAAGAAATCAGATTAAAAAAGTGTTAGAATAATCTGTATTCAAACGTTAAATCACGAAACCGCCAGAAAATTACTCCTATGATTTCACGGCATGTCTTAAAATCACTATCTTCCTCATCTTTCACGAATCTTAAAATGAATACCTAAATTCTATGAGGCACACGATTATGAAAGAAGAAAACAACCCAACTGCATAGTTCACTACACCGTTTTTAATGCGTTTCGACTTATATAAATATTTGTTTCCATTTATTTACACATTTACCATTAATTCATAGTGTCGTTAACTGAACGAAAAACTTCAACTAAAACTACAAGTAACCTCAACTTTCCGAGTTCCATTAAAATATACCCTACCACGTATAAGAATCTAAGCAAAGGGTAGAACAATTTTAACCTAACCCCAAAGAGTTAACGTACAGTCCTCCATAACACAGACTACCAACTTCAAACAACATTCTACACCCATCAAAAACAAAACATCTTAAATAGAATTCATTATTCACCATACAAGATCATTCTCTTCCAATTAAACCTACTCACTTACATAAAAAAAACCCCGCTCAGGTTAAGGGTTCAGCAAGGAAAGTCCTCAAGCAGGCAAAAATATGCGTGCACGCGTTCCAGTGAACCGAGGAAGGCTGCACCCTCGTGCCCAAGAAGAAAAAAAGAGAGTAAAAAAGGGGAAGGCCGAAAGGAGGAGGTTAATTATCTTTTTCACGACGAGCTCAGCCTCTTCCCAATACCACGCCCCGTCCCCACCGAGAACGTCATTGACCTAAGTGGATATCATTTGATCGCGCGGGACTTATCCCTCCGTGCATCCCCCTGTTTACGCAGCCGGGGGCTGGCGGAGTGGGGCACTTTCGTTCTACCTGACCTCGGGGACGACTTTGTACTTTGTTCGGAGAGAGCGAGTCAGTCGTGCTTTGCCTTTCGGTTCGGTAGCATCGCGTCAGCTCGGCTTCACGCCTCTCGTGCGTCCAATCGGATCGCTTGCTCTCTCTTTCTCTCCATAGATCGTCTCGAGTGTTCCCGCGCGTCATCCTCGTGCTCCTCTCGTCTTTTATCATTCGACGTTGCAACATTGGAAAACCGTTGTGCACCTTCCCAGAACACGTGAGACGCCGCGCAGTGCTGCTCGTGTGAGATAGTGTTGTGAGAAGGTTACACCGCATCGCGAGAAATAGTCTGATTTATCATCCGGTGTTTCCTGCCGGCGGATGTTTTAGAAAACCCTTGGGTCTCGTTGAACCGGGAACTGCTGACGCGAAACTCCCCGGTAAAAGGTAAGTCGATTTATCTATCGGGCCCGATCCCTGGCCGTGTTGATTTCTCCCAGGGATTGACTTATTAAGATATTCCGATTGATGGATCGTTCCACGCTTGTTGAACCTCGGTTTCGTTTGCCAGCTTACTGCAGGACTTTAAGTGGTTCAAGTGTTTTCCTTCTTTATTTTCTTTCGCTCGCTTTTTTTTTGGAACATAAACCGCGACAGACGTTTACAGATTTGTTTATGCGTTTCTCGAGTGGCCGACATCTGTAGGTTTCCTTCCGTGAATCTGTGTTTACTCGCGCTACGTACTTTTGACGTTCCGTTCTCTTCACGTGATCTTGACGTCGTTCTGTAAATAAATTTATACCGCGCAGTGAGTGACATTATTCTAAATTATTCTCTTCGATTCGAATATTTCTGCTTGGAGATCAAGAAATATTCAAATGTTGCCAATTGCGCTTATTCTATTCGCGTTATCTGTTTACACTCGAAAATATTGAATCCTTTTGGATATGCAGAATCAGAATCAGAAACAGAGAATGAATCAAAAGATTAAAAATATGAATGTTTCAATGAAAAGCTACTTTGCGAGCGTTTATTGAACAAATTCGAGTGTCACGTTCCTTTTCTTTGAAGAATGACGTTCTATTATACCTCGATCGCTGAAAAAATTCTTCAGCCATCGGTTCACCGGTTCAACTCCATTTGCCAGGTACCGCGGGGTGACACATCGCGACCCTTAACCGCGCTCTTAATGCACAAGTCGATTCGGCTCGAGTTACACGGGCCCACGGCGCAGGAAATTGCCCGTTAAATTTGCGATTCGGCCAGTAAATATCGGGTATCGGTGCAACGAAACTGCGCGGTCCATCTATCCGGGATGGCTGTCCACCCCCCGTGTTCCGCGCGCACCAACAACCCGCCATGTATGAAATATACATTCGAAGCGACGTATCGTAAACACACGCGAGCCGACCGCGATCTGCTCGCCAGCCCAGCACTGCACGCGTTATCTACAGGGTGTGATCATCGCCGGGAAGCATTAGAATGTCTCTTTCTATTATTCAATTTATTATCGCTCAATCCGCACGGAAAATGAAAAGTTTCAACTGTGTCCTACTCTAGAATTTCCTCTCGACTGTGATTTTTATTTCCCCTTCGACCGTATACGCTGCATCGAATAAATGACGCACGAGGCTGTTCCACTTTGATTAACGTAACGATAATAAATGTATAATCAACGTTATTTCGAAAATCAAAGCAAAAATGTAATACGAAATAATGAATGAATTTCCACAGAACATGTTTTCGTCGTGATTACATGCCTTCACAATGTTTATTATCGAAATGATGCATGAAAGAATATAAGCTGCACTGCCATATTTTCGAAATAAATGAGAAACGCAACAGATTCGCAATTACGAGTCAATGAAAACAGAGGAACACGCGTCGCAGAAAACGTGTGCGAACCGGAATTTGCGTAGTAATTTTTTTAATTGAATGGAGGACGTATGTAAATTCGTGATTCGTAGCGTTTGAATAGAGTGGAATGGCGGGTTCGTGAGCCGAGTGCATAAAAATAGGGGAACAGTTTGATAATTCTCGGCTCACCGCATATGCGTGCGTTGCCGCGCGAGCGAGGGCGGATATCGGAGTACGTGTGTTAGCAGGGCGGATCGGCTTCGGGGGTGAACTCGCAACGCCGGAAGCATTACCGGGAATCAAGTTTACGTTTCCTGATATGCGTATTTCCAGGCCGTGACATATGATTTAGACGTCATGCAGGGTTCCTTGCGGGCTCGGGATCACTGCCACGCGCAACCCCAGCTACCCCGAGCACCGCCGAACGTCGAAACTTCTCGATTTTACGAGGCAAAGTTACCCCGACGCGCGCGGCTTTTGCCTAATGCTCCCTCTCCATGTCTTTTTCTTCTTACTACCGGGGATTTTCGAATATTCCCTTGAAAAAGACGCTTCAAACATCGGATTACTGAATTTAATTCTTCCTTTCTTCTTTTTACGACTACGGAATGAAATTACGATTATGGTAATCAAAGTTCTTTGGAAAGTACCATTCTTCTTTTGTAATGGATAATCTTGCGTAATTATTATCGAACCCGTTGAATTTCTGAAATTTCGTAGCTTCAGACGATAGTTCGCTACGTGAAAGGAAAGTGTGAATGTTGAAGAAACGAAAGGGTTGAAATATATTTGCTTCCTTAGCAAGACAAATTTATGGTGTTCGACGGTAGAAAGATTCTATTTTTCTCGAGCAATGACTTTGCAATTTAAACTGTTCGATTTCGTGTCCTACGGTTATAGAGTGCGCGAGGCATGAATCACGCGATTTGATGTTTCTACTCGGAACCGAGATTATTGGATTGGCTATCTTGTGATTAAATTTCCCGGTGCTCCCGTACCGCGCGGGAAACAAAAGTTGTCGCGCGAGCTGCCCCTCCCCATAAAACTGTGCTGGCTCGCTTATTTGCTGGCATGAGTTTTATTCTGCAATAAATAACGACTGGGTTCAGGGAGAATTGGTTCCAGTCCAACTCGCTCCTTGGTAGACAATATAAAATCGCGGCGTAATTCACTTGCTCTTCTATTTCCGGGACAGGGTTTCCTGCGACGCATTAAACAGCCGTTTTACTTTTGGTTATACGCGTATTTATCGCCCGGCGATGGACCAGTTACTGCCGTACACGTCCACGTTCGCACGTTAGTTCCTTCGTTCCTCTCTTGTCCGTGAAATCTCTTACTTTACGCTCAACTTAATTTCCTACCTCGACCAGTCTCCTCTCAAAATTTCAGTTCTTAAATAAAATCTTGTGGAACATTTTCGTTAAGCTTTTCAAATGCCACAGCTCTCTTATACTGATTCATACCCCAAACTGTCTTCTTCTATTTATCATCACATTTCAGGGTTAAAGGTCAAAGTAACATTCCAGAAATATTAATTACAAATCGAATCATCAACCATCTCTTAAACAGGACTGCATTTGATATGTCAGTTTAATCAATCATGTCCCCAATTGTCTGTCAGCTATACAATAGCTAGACCAATCCATCGATCGGTCTCCAAGATTTTCAATGTATTTACAAGTAGTGAATCCTTGATTCGTTTGCGGATAACTAATTAGTTTCCTTCCTTGACCAGTCCCCTCTCAATATGTTAGTTCTTATATAAAATCTCGTGGAACATTTTCCTTGAGATCTTCAAATCCCACAGCTCTCTTATACTGATTCATACCCTAAACTGTCTTCTTCCATTTATCATCACATTTCAGGATTAAACGTTAAAGTAACGTTCCAGAAATATTAGTTAATTACATATGAAATCACCAACCATCTCTTAAACTAGCACTGCATTTAAACGTCGCTTTAGCCAACCACGTCCTCAATTGTCTACCAGCTACACAATAGCTGGACAAATTCATCGATCGGTCTCCAAGATTTTCGACGTATTTACACGCGGCACTGTATCCTTGACTCGTTCGCGGACAATGGACCGCTCAACCGAAGAGTGATCAATCGAACCCCGAATACTAGCTAATTCCATACCGCGCCACAAATGCTGCCCGTTTCGCATTCCGTGAACAAGAGATCACTGGTCTGCAGTTCAACAAGCAGTCTTACTGTTCGCCGATCAAAACTTGGCGAACAATTCTCGTTGGAGATCGATCGATCGATCGAAGCGCGATCCTCCGGGTACAGGTGATTCTCTGCTTCCATGCACTCGAACGAAGTTTTCGGGCACGACGTAGGACCAGGGCTCCGCGATTTAATAGGGGATTCTATTTGTGCTGTTGCCATACATTGTCCGGGCCGCGTTGACGTAGTGCGTGGGTGCGCGCGTTTCGGCAGGCAGGCTACCTGCAGGCGTGTGCCACGGTTTCACCTTTGATCCGTCGATTATACGCGGGTATAATTAAAGCCCGATGATCGGCCGATGGTCCGCCGATTGATCGCCTCGGATATCCGTCGAATCAATTTACGTTAGTCCGGAGGGAAATTTGTGGATCTACCGGACGGAGATTTCTAGTCAGCGCATCGATGTCTGAGCTGTCTCCAATTTGCAGGGAAAATTGAGCGATTCGTTGCTATTAACTTATTATTGGCTACGTGGTTATAGATGTTTTATAGATTGCGAATGGACGTGTTTCACGTTGAGTGTTGATATTATTTATGGAAATGTGAAGCGTGAGATTGAAGTTTGATGATATTCTTTGGTAGAGAAATATGCGAGAAAGTGCTGGAGAGTTTGGGTTTATAATGAAAGTTAATAATCCAGTGTAATATTTCTTGTATTTTTATAGACTGTTTCGTAAAAAGTGAAATAGTGGATCATGTTAATTAGTGTCTATTGTATTTATGAATATTGTCATTATAATAAAGATATGAATCTTGTGTTCGAATTGCAAGAATTATTCGAATAATTATGTACAGTGATTTTTAACAAATTCCCCGGTGATACTTGTTAAAACCAGCAAGATTTGAATACCTTACCAGGCATTTACAATGAAGAACAAAAGCTCGTATATCTCTGACTTCCGCAAGAATAATAGAACAAGGTAGAAGCGTCTCGGTATTTCTTAGTGGTGGCGTGTCGGGCTAATTAAATCGTAGTTTTAAAAGTCACGGACAAGACTCGACTCTTCCGGTAAGTTCGACTGTGCTTCTTAACCGAAATGAATTTCAAATGAATTTTCTACAAATGCGCTCGGCGAACTTGCGGCCGTGGTCCAGGTGAAAGATTTACGACGCCGGTGGGCCGGTAATAAAATGTCGCTTCGTCGAGATAAATAGTTGTAATACCGATGCCGGGACTGGATCGAGAATAAAAGGAGAAAAACCGGGGAACTCGGTTTCGCGGTTTGGTACTGGTTCAACGGAAAATAAGGCGCGGCGGGCATTTCCGCCGGGAAAATGCATAGAACCCGGTGAAAATATTTTCTCCGCTGCAACAAGGTTCATTATCGCTTTTCGCCCGGCATGTAAAGCAGACGGGGCGA